CCTCCTCCTCCCTCTCCTACTCCTCCTCCTCCTCCTCCTCCTCCTCCTCCTCCTCCTCCTCCTCCTCCTCCTCCTCCTCCTCCTCCTCCTCCTCCTCCTCCTGATCCTGTTTCTCCTCCTCCTCTTCCTTCTTCTCCCTTTCCTCCTCCGCTTTCCCTCCTCGTCCTCCTCACGCGCACGCTTCCTCCTGATGACACCGAAACAGCCAGCTGTTGCGCGACGAGGACGAACATGCCCAGCAACGAAATCGACTCCCGGACTGCGCTCAGTCTCAAGAGCGGTGAACCCGAAATCCCGAAGTTCAAGGGCCAGAACATGCCGAACCGTGGGGGGAGTTCGTGAGCACTCAACTCCTGTCAACTGCAATGCGCGTGTCGACTGTCAAGTTCAGCCCGCGCTCGCCCGCCAACACCGAAACGACGCAGCGAAACATAGTCGATGTTGGCGGATACGACGACCGAAAAAGCGCACGGCCTGAACTCGATCAACTGGCCCAAGGAACACAAGCTGTACCATAGCGCCACGAATGTGCATTCTACAGCCACGATATTAGAAACGTGAGCACGTTCGCTGCGCACCCCTTGGAGATCAAATATCCGCGGCGCACTGTAAACATGAATGAAAAACGGCATTTGCCAAAGCGGAAAGCTGGAATTGGTGGCAGCTGGCGCGAAGTGGCGACGCAGCACAAACTTAATGTTTCGCAAAGTCATGAAAAATGGTCCCAGAACGATGCCCCTCGCCGGTGCGATACTCGAACCAAGCACTGGAGATCCAAGCGCACAGATCAGCATATGTGCATGTCACAGACCACCAAGCGTGACGACAGCTGCGCAGCTGCCAAGCTGAAAGACAGCGGCCTTCGCAAATTGCATTGAAATCGGCAAAGAATGCGGAAATGGTCAAGCGGCCGCACACGAGCCGACCTGATTCATGGCAGGGACTACGCGGTCGCACGTTTGCGGCCACTGGGGGTGAGCTTCGACGAGCACGATGGTGTCACGCAGCAGGATCAGGGCATCATCTGGCAGCTGGATATTCCCAGGCCCAACCTGATCGAAACCCGAAACAGTCTTGAATTAGAAGTTCTAAAACAGCCCTGGGCTCCGCGACGGGGGACGGGGGAACGCGCGAGGCTGGATCGCCCGGTCAGACTAGACACCGCCCGCCCCACCATAAGTTGAAGGGCCAGCCGACGCTTCTTGAGCGAAGACCCCCAGGAAAAGTTTCAGGAATAACGAAGAGAATATTGGTATCAAGATTGAAGGTACAAAGAGTAGCTGTACATAGATATACACACATATATATAGAGAGATATAGATATCCGCCGGCCCCCATGTGGGGCCACCAGGCTGCAAGCCGAAAGTTCGCAGTTTCCTGTGCCACTTGCAGCTTCCAGTTTCCACTGTTACAATGTTGTTTATTGCTGTTTCCTGTTCCTTGTTGATGGACCGCGCGAGGGGGGGAGGCCCAAAACGGGCATTTGTACCGCGCCCTTGGCGTGTTGTCTGAATTGCTGGGGTGGGTAAAAAGTGGCACCCTTCACGCACATCGGCGGGGGCGGGGTCCAAAAACACAGGGGATTGGCCACATTTTTTAAATCCGGCGGCAACCGTCATGCAGATCCGTAAGATCAGGGTCCAAAAACACAGGGGAAAGCCACATGTCTGACATTCAGTGACACCCAGCACGCAGATCCGTAGGGTCAGGGTCCAGAAACACAAAAGATTTGCAACATGTTTGAAATTCGGTGGCACCCGCGACGCAGATCCGTAAGGTCAGAGTCAAAAACCAAACAAGTCCCAACACTGTTTCACGGCGTCGCCCAGACTTCATGATGTAGTTGTTGCATTTCCCATTATACGAGACACGGGGCCAGCGGCATGGGGCGAAGCCCTAACGGATATATATATATATATATATATATATATATATATTATATATATACACATATATGTGTAGGATATACAGGAGAGGTACATATGTAAATGGTTATATATATACCATATACATAAACATATATGTATACACACCGATATATGATACAGGTAAGACATATCCAATATATATATATATATATATATTATTATATTATATATATATATGTGTGTTACGTATATATTCTATAGTCATGTTGTGTGTACGTACATACCGTGTGTCCATCATATGTATACATATGTGTATGTATAACAATATACATATATATATATATATATATATATATATGTTTACACCTGTACGACCACCCTTCGGGTGATAAGGAGGTTCGGGGGGGGGAAAATGCAGCGTCTCACTCGATCGGTCTCACCATCCATCTCACTATCGGTCTCGCTCGATCGATTTCACTCGATCGATCTCACAAGCGATATCATTCGATCTATCTCATTCGTTCGGTCTCACAATTGATCTGATTATCGATCTCACAATCGATCCCACATTCGGTCTCAGTATCTATATCACCACCGATATCACAATCGATCTAACAGTCAACGTCATCATCATCAACAACACCACCATCTCCATCATCATCGGGACACTGTCATATTCACATCATCATCGTCGCCATCATCATCAACGCCATCATCATCAGGCCATTATCATCAACGCCATCATCATCTCATCATCGTCATCATCATCATCGGGACACACCAATCGTCATCATCACCATCAACATCATCATCATCATCATCGGGACACCATCATTTGCATCATCAACATCATCAACAACAACATCGGGACACCATCATCATCATCAGCTCATTACCATCATCAACATCATCATCACCATCATCATCACCAACATCATCATCATCAATATCATCATCGGCACACCATCACCATCACCATCATCATCACCACCGTCATAATCATCATCATCAGCAGCATCATCATCATCATCGGGAGACCATAATCATCATCAGCAGCACCAGCATTACCAACATCATCATCAACAACAACGGGCAAAAACACCATCATCACCATCGCCATCTCATCATCATCATCTCAACATCAACATAATCATCATCACCAGGACACCACCATCGTCATCAACATCACCGTCAACATAACCATCATGATCATCATCAACATCATCATTATCGGGACACCGACGGGGCACCGACGGGACACCGGCGGGACACCGCGGGCCCCCGGCCGCCCGGAAGGGAATCATTTGGTCCGGCCGCGCCTCAGCCACACGGGACACCGACGGGACACCGGCGGGACACCGAGGGCCCCCGGCCGCCCGGAAGGGAGTCATTTGGTCCGGCCGCGCCTCAGCCACACGGGACACCAGCGGGACACCGGCGGGACACCGCGGGCCCCCGGCCGCCCGGAAGAGAGACATTTGGTCCGGCCGCGCCTCAACCACAGGAGGCTTTCTCTCGCCCGCCCACGCAGCTTCGCCTCGCCCGCACGGCACGCACGAACACGAAACCGAAATCGATTTCCTGGTAGGGGGGCTCTCCGTTCCAATTCGATCTCACCCCCTCACCTCCGATGAATATGTATGTATGTGTATACATATACATATACATATCTATATATATATACATATATATGTAAGAAGGAGAGAAACAGAGAGAGAGAGAGGGGAACACAAAAACGAGAAAGCTATGATGTTGCAACACGTTTTCCCACACCCCTCTGGCGAAGAGCGGTTCGCACCCGGGGCCAAACGGCAGCGGGGGCGGGGAGGGGCGAGCATTCAAGTGGCGGGGGCAATAATGTCCCGATCCGCTCTCCTCCTGCTCGGCGCCAGCTCTCCTCGCCTCAAAAATTGCACTGCGCTGCAAAACTGGCACATGCACAGTGACTCCTTTTGACGAAACGCAAGCGGTTCTTACTGCCCGCTCTACCTAGCGCGCCCGGCTCGTTCACTACGCCTGGCCCTCCCTCGGCAGTCCGCGAGGAATGCGCCCGCGCTGCTACCGCGGAAATAATTGCCCAGAGCTGATATGTATCGCGCGGCGCCTCAACGCCATCGCCTGTCCCGCACGACACGTCACTCGCGACGAGCAGAGGGGAGGGGGGGGGGGCGAGGAACAAAGGAAATAGAGAGAGGAGGAGAAAAGAAAGAGAGAGAGAGAGAGAGATTGAGAGAGAGAGAGAGAGGGACAGAGACAGAGACAGACACAGAGACGTTGGCAGACACAGAGACAGAGACAGAGGCAGAGACAGAGAGAGCGAGAGAGAGATAGAGAGAGAGAGAGAGAGAGAAATATAGAAATAGAGAGAGAGAGAGATGAAAAAGAGAGAGAGAGAGAGGCGATGGGGGAAACAACAAGAAGAGAGAGAGAGAGAGAGAGAGAGAGAGAGAGAAACAATTAGCCTGGCGAAGGACCCAACCATATGCAGCTGCGAGTACCGCACGGATATGAGACGAAGGAGGGGGCACGCAAACTAGGCCCCTCTTCTCATAGGCACCGCGCCACTGGGGCCTTCGGTGGAGCTCCCTATGGGGCCACGAAACGTGTGAGGGGTGTGCCGAAATGGGTGGTGGGGAGGCATGCGAACCCTGCCACTGGGGCCTTCGGTGGAGCTCCCTATGGGGCCACGAAACGTGTGAGGGGTGTGCCGAAATGGGTGGTGGGGAGGCATGCGAACGCAGCCACTGGGGCCTTCGGTGGAGCTCCCTATGGGGCCACGAAACGTGTGAGGGGTGTGCCGAAATGGGTCTGGTTGGGGGACCACTGGGGCCTCGGGGAGCTCCCTAATGCGGCACGAACGTGTGAGGGGTGTGCCGAAAATGGGTGGTGGGGAGGCATGCGAACCCTGCAACTGGGGCCTTCGGTGGAGCTCCCTATGGGGCCACGAACCGTGTGAGGGGTGTGCCGAAATGGGTGGTGGGGAGGCATGCGAACCCTGCCACTGGGGCCTTCGGTGGAGCTCCCTATGG